GATGCGCCAAGGCCGCGCCGAGACGAACCGACGCGACCCTGACAGATCCCACTGTGAGAAATAGAAGAGGGGGCCGGCGGCAGGGGGCGAAGCCCCTGCGGATATAAAGCAGGTCAGTGTGTGAAACCCTGTGCGTGAGGGGGGAGGGGGGGAGGGGGGAACGCACGTGGGGAGGGGGCGGGAGATCTGTCGGACAACTTCACTCGACGAGGGAGAGCAGCATTCATACACCGCCGCGCCGGCTCCTCGGAACGCGCCTGGGCAGGCGCGCACCCACGGCACGCCTCGCGTCCAAGGCCGGCTCTGCCCCTGCCCCGGCGGCCGAGGCGCAGCTCCCCAATACGTCAGAGGCCGCGCGTCCGAGTCATCGGCGCGGCGACAGATGGCGCAATTGTAGAAGAGGGGGGGCCCAGAGATCCGACGTCGTGACTTTTTCACTATGCGGGGTCGACCGGGACATGCCCCAGAACCGGTGCGAGTCGCTTCTTGTGACGGCCCCGGAACCCGGCGGGGGCCCCTGGGGGAGAAAAGCCTCCGTTTCGATTTGTGCAATGCGTGGGACCTCTGGGGAGCATGCGAAAGGGACCGAGGGGGGCGGGGGAGGAAACGGGGAGGACAAGGAGGAGGGCACAGGGCTTCGCGCCGCGCCCCGCGCCGCGCGGCGCGGCCGAGGCTGGGGCAGGGGGCGAAGGGCTGAGCCTCGGGCCAGCGCGGCGTGGGGAGCTCAGCACACCCCAGGACCAGCCGCCGCCCATGGAGTTGCCCCACTCGTTGATCTGCGAGGTTCGGATTCGCACTTCGTCACCGAAGGACCTCGCTGGACCTCCGAAGCCGCTCAGGCGGGGACAGATCGGCGACCTCCGAGAGCCAGCGGGGTCCAGAGGGCGCATCGGTTGCCGCGGCCTGCTCCAGAGAGCTCCGCTCACAGAGCGTTCCCAGTCAACTCTGGGGCGATTCGCCTTCACCCTGGACCTGCCTGGCGGCGCACGGTCTGGAAGTTTGGCAAACTTTGGGATAGCGCGTCGCTGCGGCGGCCCCAGCGGCACGCTACGCCCTGCGAGCGGTCAGCGCGTCGCCCCGCCCCGCGGGGCGGGAGGCTCGTAAAGGCTCGGGACGTGTGACGCTGGGGGGTAAGGGATCGGCGGCGAGCGAGGGGGGGAGACGAGAAGGAGAAGGCCTCCTCAGAAGGCGGCGGGACTTCTCAGAAAGTGTTCGCTCTCTTCGGGGAAGGCTTAGAAAACTTCTCAGAAGGCCGGGGGACTTCAGAACCTTCTGAGGAGGCCTTCCCCTCGTCCTCGTCATACACCCCCCCCTCGCTCGCCGCCGAGGTCAGCGTGTCGCCCCACTCCGCGGAGCGGGAGGCCGGGAAAGGCTCGGGACGCTCGGCGCTGGGGGGCAAGGAATGCACGGACCGCGCGTCGCGCCCGGAGCGTGGAGGGCCCCAAGAGGCCGGCGCCGCGGCACGCCGTCCACGAGCTCCCGGCCGTCTGTCGCTCCTCCGTGCTCGACCTTCTCTTTTTCGCCACGGCCGCCCACCGCGCTCTGGCCCTGCGCGCCTGGCTGCTGGTGCCCCCCCGGCTGCACACCGTCGAGCTCCTCGGCGTCCGAGCGTCCCTCCCTCCTCTCGGCCGTCGCCCCTTCCCTCTTGGCTGGCCGGCCAATTCGCCAGTTCGTGCCCCGATCCAGCTGCTCGCCGGAGCGGAGCTCGCCGCCTCGCCGCGGACGGGAAAAGTGTTCGACCTTCATTTTTGGCCTAGGACCAGAATCTGCGCACAAGCTGGAGGAGGAGGAGGTGAAGGGGGAGGGGGAGGTGGAGGAGGAGGAGGAGGAGGAGGAGGAGGAGGAGGAGTAGAGGAAAAGGAGGAGGAGGAGGAGGTGGGGGAGGAGGAAGAGGAGGAGGAGGAGGAGGAGGAGGAGAGGAGGAGGAGGTGGGGGAGGGTGAGGAGGGTGTGTGCTTGCAGCGAGGGCAGAGAGGCGCCACGACTCACCAGTGAGATGCAGCCAGGTCGGCGCACCGCATGGGAAGCACCAGATGCTCGCATCGGGCCTCGATGTCGGCGGCCAACCCCCGCGCCTACTCTTCATGCGCGAACGTGTTCCCCCGAGGGCTCTGGGCACCCTCTCTCTCTCCTTGCAGTCCTCTCCAGTCCCCTCATTGGCGCTCCGTCTGAGTGTCGGCGCGTCGCCGGCACACGCCGCATCCGTCGGTGACTCGTCGATCGGGTGCAACCTTTTCGAGGCACGCGAAGCTTCGACACTCCAGACGGGTACATGAATACGAACGGACTGACATAGTTGACGAACGAGCAACACACACCCACACCCATAGGGGGGTCGTTGGGAGGAGGACTGGCTATGGGTATGGGTGGGGGTTGTCGGACCCTGGGGAACGCTCCCGTTCGAGCGGGGGACCCCCATCCGACAACACGCACCCATAGCCCTCTCCGACCCCTCTATGGGTATGGGTGTGTGTTGCTGGTTCGGCAATAGTCGGACTCTTCGCCCGAGTCCCGCGTGTCAGTAAAGCAGCCATCGACGCCGCGAGCCCTGCCCGCTCCGCCAGCAGGCACGCAGATCCGCCACCGGAACATCGCACCGTGCCAGCACCGACGGCCGCCACCAGCTCCTCGCCACTCGGCCTGTCATCCCTCTGATTCACGAGATCCTGGCTAATGCGGGATGACGATTAATAGAAATGGGAAAGAACGATTAAACAAATAGTTTTCTGCTATTTCTGCACAATTTTCTGACTGGAGGAGAACGATAAAAAAAGTGTTCCAGCCCGCGGCCGGTTTTTTCTTATCGTCATCCCGGGCGCCGCCGCGTGAACACGACCCCCGGTCATTTATCAATCATCATCCTCCATCCACGGTCTCCTTCGGAAGCCAACCCCTCAGGCGGGGCGACCCTGTGCCCGCCCTCGAAGCGCATCGGCATGTCCTCGACGCGCGAGCCTCTGCTCCTATGGAGTCCCGCCGCGGGCAGGCGGACGAGGCACGGCCCACGCCCAGCGCACAGCGCCCCGCGGACGAGGAGGAGGAGGCCCTCGAGGAAGGACGAGGAGGAGCTGCGGGACTTCTGGCCAGCGTTGTGGACGGGGTCGCTGCGTCACCGCCCCCCGCGGCCGCTGGCCAGCGCCAGCGGGGCACGCGTCTGAAGCGGGCGGCTGCTGCTGGGCCAGCGCCTGCGCCGCGCTGGGCGGCTGGCGCTGCCCCCCTGCCCTCGGCGCCCCCGCAGCCTGCGCCCTCGGGCACTGCACGGCGCCACCCTGGCCCGCTGCGGGGCCCGGGCCGCGCATCGCAGGGGCCGCCGCTGGCCGCTGCAGCGCCGCAGCAACCAGGGGCATCCGAGCAGGCCTCCCGCGGCAGCGCCTCGCAGGTCTCCCGGATCCCCATTCGAAATCCGCTGGCACCCTGGACGTCGGCGATGCTGATCAGGAACAGCTCCACTGGGATCGGGTGCTCCCGCGGAGGCGGCTGCGGACGGGGCGGCGACTGTCGAGGCTCAGGGGGCCCCCCAGGCGGAGCCATCGCCGCCCGCCCCGCAGGCCGCCGCCGCCGAGCCCCCCCCCAGCGCCTCCACGAGGAGGCCAGCCGCCTCTCCAAGGAGAAGTTCGAGGCCGTGCGCAACAAGACGAAGTCCCAGGGCAAGGGAGCAGCCCCCCCCTCTTCCGCAGGGACACCCTGGGTGGCGGGCGTGGCCCATGGAGAACTCGCCCGAGCTCGGGCCTTCGGCTGTTAATTAAGGCGGCGGTACCGAGAGCGCTGCGGCAGCACCGCCGCCCCGGAGAGGAAGTCCCGGAAGCGCTGCTTTTGTCGGGCTCTGGCAAGTACTGGAGGAAGCTGCATCCATGAGGCGTGTGCCTCGTGCCTCCTGAGCCCAGCAGGTGCAGCAGGTGTGGGGAACGGGCGATGATGTTCCATCGTGGGCGGATGCGCAGCTGGGCGTCGAGCAGGGCTGGCCAGCGAAAGCTGCCAGGGATGGGCCGAAGGGGCAAGGAGGCAAGAATGGCCGTGGAAGGCCGCTCATCCCTACGATGCGACCTGACTTTCCGGGCCGGGCGCGCCACAAACGCGGTCGAGGATGGACCCAACAGGCACGGATGCATGGGGCACCATGAGAACCCCGAGGAGGGGCACCATGAGGAGGGGCACCCCGAGGAGGGGCACCATGAGGAGGGCGACCCATCCTTACCATCGGGTTCGGCTCACGAGGGCTGGGCGCCATGAGAGCTGCGACGCCGGGATCCCCAGCGAGGGCCGCCGCGGAGGGCCCCGCCGAGCCGACGGCCGCGCCCGCGCCGCCGCCCACGCCGCCTCCCGAGGGCCGCGCCCCGCGGCCAGGCGGCGGCGTCGCACGACGGCCGACGACCGAAGACCGAGGACCCTACGACGACCGACGACCGACGACCGACGACCGACAACCGACGACGACGACGACGACGACGACGACGACGACGAGGACGCCCGACGACGACCGACGACGGACGACGACCGACGACCGACGACCGACGACGACGACGACGACGACGACGACGACGACGACGACGTCGACGACGACGACGACGACGGCCAGAGGCCCCCGCCCTCAGAGTCGGCAGCTCGGATCAGTCACGTGATGGCGACCCCGAAGAGGAAGAGGAGGAGGAGGACGGAGGAGGAAGGAGGAGGAAAGAGGAGGAAAAAAGGAGGAGGATGAGGAGGAGAAGGATGAGGAAGGGGGGCAGGATGACATGGAGGAGAAACAGAAGAACCAGGCGGGAAGGAGGAGGAAGAGGCAGGAGGAGGACAAGTGGGGGAAAGGACGCCGTGGAGGAGGAGGAGGAGAGAGGAGGAGGAGGAGGAGGAGGAGGAGAAGGAGGAGGAGGAGGAGGAGGAGGAGGAGGAGGAGGAAAAGGAGGAGGAGGAGGAGGAGCCGTGAGGAGGAGTGAGAAAGAACAGGAGCGCCACACCCCCAGGGTCCGTGGGAGGCCCCCCCACGGGAGGGGGTGGGGCGTGCGC